ACTCCTACCTTTGATTCCACAGAGTTTCTAGCTTCACGAGATTATTCGCCGACGGATTTTTGTTCTTACATTTCCTCATGGTATTCCTCTTTTTTATGGCATTTAGTGTTTCGTTACTGACCCACGGGGGTAGACTCATCTGATGTTTTGTTTTTTATTGGATTTATTTTTCAAAGATCTTGTATAGCCAACCATACAACAAATCAACAACAACATTACAGTTACTTAAGCAGCCGGGCAAAACAAGATTTCGTTAATGAAATTTCGTTCCAATCAGCTTTTTTGTATGAAAAAATGCTATAATCTCTTTTCAGGCACGGTTATTGTCACTTTGAAACAGTCGTTTAAGTTCAATTTGAGCTGGTAGGTTGGTGATCGAATTTGTAGAATTGTTGAACTTTATTGTCGACACATACTTCTAAAACTGGGTCCGTATTATTAGCTGAGTTATATAAAGTTGCCTTTTTGCGCTTGTGATTTGTGAAGTTTTTGGTAATTGCAATTTTTTTGCTTCGTCAAAGTTAGAAGATTTCATATGCTTGCAGTATGTGTCGAATTTGACGTCTTTACGATCCTTGTTAGGTTTACAGCGTGCTTTCGACGAAAATCGTCTAGGCAATCAAGGAGCGCCGATATAAGTTTTCAACCAAAGGGGCGAAAATCTGTATGGAATCTTTTAGGAGGAAAAGTAGATTGAAGTCAAGCTGCACGAGTACTGTATTCGGTTAATTTGGAATCAAAGATTTTACAACGATGCTGAAAACTACAGTGTACTGCAATAAGTACTCCTACATGGTTTGGTTGACAACTCACTGTATCACACTCGTTACTATGAATAGTGAAAGTGAGAAAAAAAAAGCATAACAGGGTAATTCTGCTAGTAACCAGGGTTTCAGTCAAACAGACAAATTTGAAGTAATCACATTTCTTCCACGCACTTTTTCAAGTCTACAAGGCTCCTTACGTTATACAGATTTAAGAAGACCATTTCTGATGTTGATTAACAGAGTCATGACGATGTTGCCTCATTGTTCGTTTTGAATTCTAACCAAACTTTTTCTTTTACAATTTCTTATACAATTTGAAATCACGAAAATTGAGCCCGTTTCTTAATGTTCCAGCTTCGATCGATTCCCGGCGTTTTTTAAGCAAAGAAGGTTCTTATTTTGATTCTTTGGCATTCAGTTCCTTACTCACAAACACTAACTTGTACCCTTTGAGCTTGCTGATATCCATGAGAATCTGTCGTCTATGAAACTTATTAGCAACTGAGAAAACAATTGTCCTTGCCCTTCCCTCTTGGTGGGTCCCAATACGTTGTACTTGTTGTCTCACATTCTAATGACAGAAAGACTAGTATTTTGGATATCCTCCTCATATCGTGCTCATTTCGCTCAAGACGAAATTTTGAAGTGCTTTCAGGCATACCTCTTACTCGATTGCCTTCTGGGGGTTCGTGCTCTGCTTTAAACTTTGCCGTTGGTTGGTCTGAATCTCTGTGGCTTTGCTTGGGATTTATTAATGGTGTCTTTACAAAGGATTTTAAGCTCACAAATGGCCTTTTTGATTTCGGTTACCTCTATGTGAAGAGATTTCAACTGCCTTTTCGTTTGTAATAGTTTTTTTATTGCTGAATTTTTGCTGCTGCTTCAATATTCCCATCTCGTTGTTTTCATGACACACAGTCATTGCACAAAAACAATGCATTACTTCCCAGCTCTTTACGCATGAGCACAGCATGACTTAGTGATGTAGTTTTTAGTCAAATGAAAATTGATTCCATAATTGAAGCAAAAAAAATCAACCTCTTCGGCAAGGATTTCAAAATATAAAGTCTAACAGAACCTTTCACCTTACTTTGCATCTGCGGCAGATCTTGACCATCATTTTTGAGACATGACTCTGACTATCGTGCCCAACTTACTTGAGTGGTCACTTGAGTTTGGACCACAAACTGTTACAACAGATTTGAGTCTTCGAGTTCTGTAGATTCGTGGTAAGCTGGCTGGTCTTTGATTCCCTTGCTCTATCTGTTTTCTAACTTATCGTAGCTGTCCCGGTTACAACAACAAAGTTTTTTGGAATTCTAAACGCAGCTTGAACCGCAAGTTTCCTGAAATTAAAGTTAAGCCTTCGACGAGCATAAAGCCGAATTTCCTTTTTGCAGATTTTTTGTTCGTATTCATCGTAACACAAGACAACGACGTAGAAAGGCTACAGCTCGGGTTTGATGCAATCGTTTAAACTGTTCTTTTACAATTTCGTTTATACTTTGTTATACTGTTCGTTGGTAATACAGTAATGACACGATTTTGTTGTCTGCATAGGTAAATAACACCAAAAAACCAAACTGTAGGAATCTAAGGATTCATACTACCAACGGCTAGGCTAAATCACAGGGTTCAAACTAACACACTACGCTTCGCAAGCTCACTACTGTAAAAACTGGATTATGCTAGCACACATTTATTAAAATCCCCATAACATCTACAACGGAAGAAGAGAACAATATAAACGAACATTAACAGTTCGCGCGCTATGATTGAGGACCTTAACAGTTCGCGCGCTATAATTGAGGACCTTTTTAATCTCAGCTCAGTTGTTTTTCTGATCTTTTAGGCGTTTTGTCGCCTCTATCGATCAGCTCATGATGTACTCCTTTTCTATCAATTCGTCTCAAATTTATTAATTCCGCTTTTCTTCCAATATTTGTCCACGTTGTTCTTGAAAACGATCAAGGTCTTCGAGTCAATTACTTCTCCTGGCAACATTCCAATCTGTAGCTGATATAACGGTAGAAAAAGTTTTTCCGCAATTCGAAGTTGGCCTTCTTCATTATCACTTTCTTGTCATTTGTCCATGTGTCTCGATTATTCAATTCGAACATGCCTTTTGTAGCTTTTGGGTCATAACGGTTGTAACCTATTTTGAACATTTCGATTATTGTTCCTCGCCTTCTGCGGTATTAAAGTGACGGTAGGTCTAGTTTTTTAACCTTTCATTGTAGCTTAGTGTCTGTAGACCTTGTACCATTCGTGTCGCTCGTTGTTGCTCATTTCCGATTAATCTTGTGCTCTTCTTTAATCGCGGGTACCAGGCTTGATTACAGCACTCCAAATGAGGCCTTTATAAACCTTCAAAAACACAGGTATAGTCATTTTAATGAATGTTTTCTTACAAACTGCAATGATAGAATTTGCCTTTTGAACTTTTACAAAAATATGAGAGTCTAAGTAGAGTTTACTATCGATGATCACTCCAAGAACTTTTTTTCTCCCACTGTTTCAAGCTGTTTATCGCAAAGTTCATATGATCTTATTTCACGATTTGATCTTCCCTTTGAGAGTATCATATGTACACATTTATCTTCATTAAAATGCAAAAGACTATTTTTTACCATTCTTCCAGTTTTCTTAGATCTTCTTGCAGCAATTCAGCGTCTTTGTCACTGGTAATTTCTCTGTATAGTTTTGCATCGTCTGCAAAAAAAAAACAATTTTGATTTGACTGTGTTTGGCATTAAAAATATATAAATATTACAAATAAAACAGGTCCCAGTAGAGATTCCTGGGGAATGCCACTCAGAACATCTTTCCATTCAGATCTAGTGTCGTTTATCACAACTCTTTGTCGTCTTGTTAATAAAAACTCGTTGATCCAGCCAAGTGTTTTTCCTTTTATTCCATATTGTTTTATGATTCCTATCAGTCTTTTGTGCGGAACCGAGTCGAACGATTTCTTGAAATCCAAGTAGATAACATCCGTTTCTCGGCGACTATCTATTGTTTTTGTGAAATCCTCCAGCACTCTCAGTAGTTGTAATTGTGATGATCTACCGGGCAGGAAACCAAACTGTTCATTAACAAGGATTTCATTTTTTCCTAGATGTTCCATAAGATGGGCTCGAATTATTTTCTCAAATATTTTACAAACTATTGATGTTAAGCTTACTGGACGACAGTTGTCAGCTAACGACTTTTTTTCCTTTTTTGAAGATAGAAGCAATGTGAGCAAGTATCCAGTCTTCAGGTAGCTTCGTTTCGTCCCAAGATTTGTTTAAAATTTTTGTTAGGAATTTGAGCCAGGAATCTCATAATTCAAACAGAAATTTCGGGTGAATTTCGTTGGGCCCTGGAGATTTCGATGTATTGAGTGAGTCTAGTTGCTCTTTCACCAATTGCTCTGTTATTTCTAAGTCCTTTATTGGATGGGTGATATCCAATTCTGGAATCTTCCATTCTCTTGGTGGGACGTGGGTGAAGACTGATGAAAAGAACTTCAACTTTTTCGATCTCATTGGTCGTTAAAGATCCATCATCCTGCACTAAAGCTGGTATTGCATTTTGTAACACGGTTTTCTGTCTCAAACAGCTCCCGAATTTTTTTTGGTTTCATTTTTACATCTTTAGCTATGTCACTTTCCTTTGCCCCTTGATCATTTCGTGTAGCTGTCTTAACAGCATTTCTTTATAGTTGTCAAAGTTTACTGTTGTTCTATTGCAGCAAAATTTTTTCTAGTATTTCTTTTTTGCTCTGATTGCCTGTCGAGTGGTATTGGTGAATAGTAAGTTGTTTCTACACTCTGGATAGAGCTTAGTTAATGGCACAAACTTTTTCGTTGGTTCAGTCAGGAATTCGCACAAATCCGTACAAACTTTTTCAACATTGTCTTCACTGTGAAAAAAACGACAAGTTTTCTACTTCATCTCTCATTCGGTCGTAATCTCATAATTAGATAATGAAAAACAAAAATCATCAAAAGCAAAAAAGCTAAAAACATTGAATGCTAAATAAAAGCTAAATGAAACAGGTAAACAAACTGTTTCGCCTGCTCTACTAACAACAGGGAGAAAACATAGTACACGATTATTTAAAAAATGAACAAACTCGGTGATCATTCACAACTGCTAGAATTCATTGAAGTCAAGTTTAGAATACGCTGAGTACTGAGGAAATATCGAGTCAATAAAGCGAGGGAAAGCTGAGAAAAAATTGCTTACGTCATCCACGCCCTCAAACCCTGCATTCCTGCTGAATATTGTCGTAAATCCTCCGAAGACAATCAAATATTTATTCCAGGAGAGAACACAATGTCCAACATGCACTGACGGCCATGTTATAGGATTCACATTTGATCCTAGATCACGAAAAGGGTCTTCTTTCCGAATGTCATCAAAGTCAAATGCACAAACTGACATTCCACAACCTCAAACGAACTTGTTGTGATATAAAAACACACATTTTGCGCTTCTTAAGATAACTACACGAATAAATTCAAATAAAAGTGGGTAATTGGGGGTTTAACATTCGCCCGGAAGTACATACCGACCGAAAGTAAGGCTAAATCCTAAAACGACTGGCTAACGTCTAAATGGAGCTTTACGTTTTTTTATAGCTTTTAACAAATTTATCGGACAGCGTCTTAAACTTTGAAAAATTCTGACCTTGAGACAGTGAAATAGCGTTAAAACTGCAATCGAATTTTCAAAACTGCATTTGAACAGCCAAAAGATAAATGCAAAATGATTGTGCATTTTCGGAGATATTAACCTTTTCCTTAATTCAAGAGTACAATTGAAAAAACTTTTTCATAAAATCGCGATTTGCCAAGCAATTTTTCATAGCAAAAGACCCGACAAAAAAGCAAACGCGAACCTTCAAAGATATATTTTGACTTAGTCTAAATTTGAAAATCAGAATTATTTCAGAAAGTCAATAAGTTATCCGATAAAAATTATTAAAGCTATAACTGTAAAATGGATCAAAGGTCCACTGTCCAATAGAAACTAACGATATGCCTGAGTTCCGACCGTGTTTTTAATGGCGTTCGCGTGTTTAAGGTATTTTGAGACCTGACCATGGTGGCGTTCTTATTTCTAGAGAGGGCGAGGGGGTGGGGGTATTTTGGTTGTAGCCTTTAGGCTGTAACGCGGTTTGTAGTCTCATGTCGCAAGCGAACCGAATTGGCTCCGACCGCATGAGGTAGAAAAGGAGATAGTGTCCCTGACTCTTAAGTCAATGGTTATAGGGCCTATTTTTCTTTAACCTCATAGGTGACGACTGTTACATATAAGCAAAAATAGTGAGCTCATGGCTGGGTCTCAGCCTCCCCAGACCACGAGGTCACTCCTGAAAACAGGGCTACTATCACGTTACTATTGTTTTGACCAGTAGATAAGAATCATCATAAACATCGGAGATGGATCAACCATTTACCTCAAATCCTAGCTTCTCATTATCTGAAAACGAACTTTAATGTTGCTTGATGCAATTCAGGACATATCCGGAAGCTAAAAGCTGTTAAAAATACAGTTTCTTTTTTTCTGAGACCCTTCCGGATTCTCGAATCCGGACAAAGATTGGTCCTGTCGTCCTTCTGGAAGGGTAGTAAACTCCTCCCATTACTCCACCGATTTCTTGAGAATTGCTCGGTAAGGGTTGTACACTTACAAACGTTACAATTCGGAATGTTCTTCAGAAAGTGTCGTCAACTATAATTCTATCGTTCGCAATAATTTCTCGTACGTCTTGCTTGTCTTAGCGAAAATCGCTGTTGTGATTTTCGCGGTTTTCAGTGTTCGCAAAAGTTAAATTTGCCACGTGTCATACACGCCCAAATCGGAATTTAAAAAATTGTTTTATCACTCCAAACTGATCTCTCACAGTTCGTTAATTTGAACGCTTAACACCGTTAATGTGCCAGTCGGTCATGTCGGGAAGTTTGACCTTGAGAGACACAAAAATACGTAATTTTGGAGTGGAATTTTAATTTTAAAAATTTCGAACGGAGCCTGTCATGCTCAGTTTTCTCGTACCAACTGAAAACACAATGTGAAAAATCAGAACATCCGAGTTTACAATTGCGGGAAATAACTCAAGAAAAACAGCGGGAAATTGCTATTCGCAATTTCCAGATATAAAATAGGACACGAGTAGAGCTGTCTTATCCCAAAATAGGAGGAGAGACGGTAAATAGAAGAAAGAACGACTATTCGGAACGAACTAGAGTGAACCTTCAATGGAAAGGTGGACAGCTTGAGTGTCCCAATGGTTCATACAAAAACTCAAATTCTAGAGCAAGAATTTACTTCTGTTACCAAAACTGACCAGCATCAAACTTATTTAGTTATATTACCTAATTCTTGAGTTGCCTACCAATGTAATTACTCCCTGTATTCGAGTACATCAACATGTGAGTCCCTAATTTAAATTTCTCGAGTGTGTTTTATGATTGTTATGTTGAGATAAGGCGAGTTTTAGGTTGATCCATCTGAAATGGATCAAAATTCCACTGTCCAATAAAAAGTAACTTAACGGATTGTTCCGACCCTGTTTTTAACGGCATTCGCGTATTTTGGAGATTTTGAGACCTAAGTATGGGGACGTTCTTATTTTCTAGAGTGGGGGGATATTTTGGTAGTAGCCTTTAAGCTGTAACGGGTTCTAGTCTCATGTCGCAAGCGAACCGAATTGGCTCCGACCGTTCTTGAGGTAGAAAAACACAAGAGATAGTGTCCCTGACTCTTGAGCCAATGGTTATAGGGCCTATTTTTCTTAAGCCTCATATGTGACCGAAGTAGGCGACTGTTACATAGTGTTTTTATGGCGCTCCTGGGTGTTTTTACGAAATCATGACTACGGAGTCGAACCCACTTGACACAGCTCCGGGCTGCATGCCCATTCTAGAGTACCGGTGGTACGGTTCAGCGGGAACGTGTAAACCTTCCGGTTGTACCGTGATAGCTTTTTAAGAAAACTTGAGAAAACTTCCTGGTACGCTCTCCGAACGAGGCCTAGCTAACCGAGTAAGGAGGGGGGATAGGGTAACTAGGGGGACAAAAACACGAGCAAAAAGACAAAAGCGAAAAAAAAACAAAAAAATAAAGTATAGAAAAAGGAACAAAAACCATAAAACGAAAAGACAGTGACTTTGATACCAGATCATTTGGATCAAACCTTTATATTAATTAAATAGTGTACCCATACTGTTTTATAAGACCGATCGTTTCGATCAATCTAGCAATTTAAACCAGTGACTCTGAAAAGGTGCCCGAGTGGGGGCGTTGTTAAGGGTTTTCAGACAGATTGCAACCTAGCCGGACCACTAGGAGACTTGACTGGAAGAGGTGCCCAGTCGAGTGGGAAAGTGGTTCACAAGCATCGAACCGGACCACTGGGAGACTTGACTGGAAAGGGTGACCAGTCGAGTGGGAAAGTGGTTCACAAGGATCGAAACGGACCACTAGGAGACTTGACTGGAAGAGGTGACCAGCCAAGTGGGAAAGTGTGCTGCTGTCAAGTGCAGAACAGAGACAACCAGCACAGGATCACCACAAGAGGACAAACAGGGGTGTTCTCAAGTTGGGCAACGGGTATCGTTAGAATCCACATTACATTATAGGAGATAAGTGTAAAATTGGATAAGCGGAGTCCCATTGTTTTGAGGAAGTTTTTGCTCAAGCAGGCCTGGAAACAGGTCTACGGTTTTCTCTCGAGAGGTTTAGCACCCGGCGCTTAAGGGATTTTTCGGCTTAAGAGGGGGGCTAAAGAGGGGGGAGGTTAGAAGGGGGGCTGGTTAAGTTAGAGGTTAGCGGTTATAAATTGTAAAAAGGGGGGACATTAGAGCAACTAATTGCTCGGCATCGTCGACTTAGTTACATTAGATATTTACACGCGTTGGTTACAGGAAGCGGATATCCAAAATTAGAATCAGGTTAAGGTAGGTACCCTGGTCGGATCGGTAGGGGGGAACGGACATAGACAGTTTTTGTGATACCCCATAAGATCGCTAGCAGGGGTGAGGAAAACGCGTGGCAATCGGGTACCAGACATTTTTTCGGACAAAGATTGACATCAGTCAACCTTGAATTTCAGGAGAAATCACCCATCTGTTTTTGAAATTTTTTCCAGTTTAAAATTTTATGTTTTGGTAAAAAATTGTTGTTGGTATTTTAACGAACAGGTGATCACAAGACACCTGCGGGGAATTTAGAGTTTCAAATAGCCTGAGAAGACTGGATCAGTATTTGGGTTTCGACCATTAAGATAGGGATTTTGGGAAAACTTTTACAAGAGCTCAAGTGGTGGTAAAAGGTACAGTGGTTCAATAGTCCCTACAACGAAGAAGAAGAGACCCGATATCCAGACACTCAGTGACGAGTCTTGGGACAGTACCGAAGAAGTCTTTGGACATTGCAGTCTGGGGAAAGTCTTGGGGCAACACAATCTTGGGATAGTCTTGGGACAGTGCAGCCTTGGAACAGTCTTGGACCAGAGCAGTCTTGGTACGAAACAGTCTTGGGACATTGGTCTTGGGACATTGGTCTTGGGACATTGGTCTTGGGACAGTGGTCTTGGGACAGTGGTCTTGGGACATTGATTTTGGGACAGTGGTCTTGGGACATTGGTCTTGGGCCATTGGTCTTGGGACAATAGTCTTGGGACGTTGGTCTTGGGCCATTGTTCTTGGGACGGTAGTCTTGGGACGTTGGTCTTGGGCCATTGGTCTTGGGACAGTGGTCTTGGGACATTGGTCTTGGGCCATTGGTCTTGGGACATTAGTCTTGGGACATTAGCCTTGGGACAATAGTCTTGGGACATTGGTCTTGGGCCATTGTTCTTGGGACGTTAGTCTTGGGACGTTGGTCTTGGGACATTGGTCTTGGGACACTAGTCTGGGGATACTAGGAGGAAGTACTGGGACAACACTGAATAGTCTTGAGACGGTAGAAAGAAAGTCTTGGAACAGCATTAGGAGGGGGGTACTAAAAGAGTACTAAGTCAGGTTGAAGTAACCAATTGTAAGATCATATTCTCTATCCTTTCCTAACACATAAAATTTTCAAGAGCTTGAGAAAAGTTGTTTTCAGCAAATCGTTGATTTCTTTTTACAAAATTTTTTTCAAAAGAGGTTTTAACTTTAGAGTAGAATTTTGTAGATAGTAATACTGTAAATAGTAATAATTGTAAATAATGAGGCGAAGCAGGGTACCGGTAGCTGAAAAGAGGTCTACCGAAGCGAAGACAAAGTATAACTCGTCGCTACGTAAAACAACATCAATGGGTCCGATGGTAACAAAGAAGAACTTTTCAGTTAGTATGGTCAGCACGAGGAGTACCACGGAGAACAAAGCAAAAGAGGGCACAGAAGAGGAACGAGTAGAACCCACCATCGAGATTGATCTAGAGACACCTGATCAAAGTGTGGA